AAGTGCTTTCCCAGTTGCTAGATTTAAACGTAAGAAATACAATTGACTCCTTAAGAAAAATGTAAGCTCAGTGTTAAAGTTTGTTTTTAGGTCAAATGAAGTGGATTTGTGGTTGTTGCTTTTCTAGCTACATAACAACAGTGAAGCAAAGTTAAATTATCATGTTAGTAAGTCCAAGGATTCTACTTCAGTGATATGGACAACTGTTCTTAGGAAAAGCACAAAAATCTGTGTCAAAATTGGCGTATCCTGTACCACATACAGAGTTTAGCTTCCTTTGCTTGATTCCCGTACTTCTCATAGACGAGTGGAATCAAGAAACTTCAGAATCTTCTGTGTTCTGTCATTTTGTGCCCACATAATCCATTAAAAGCTAAGATTGTGAAATGGTTCACTTTTCATTCTAAAGAAAGTAAAATCAAAATTCCTTTGGATAAAAAACAAATTTTTTTTTAAGTGACACTGGTTTTTCTCCCCTTTACAATTACATTGGGTAGTGAATGAAGATTATAAACTGCAATACCTTGGCCTTATTTTAGTCTAGAATATATATGCTGTATCACTGCTGATTGTTAGATTAGAGTCACCACCTTTAATAATCCTTACATTGAATACAAAATACATAAATATCTAACTATTTGGAAACAATATTACTTTTTAGTGAGTCAAGGAAAAATGTGATCGAAGGAAATGTGTTTTGCATCCTAATGTCCAACTGGCGTGAGCATTTTTCACCTTGGGAACTCATCGGTGGTTTGGGCCCCATCCTCCAAATTCTGTTTAGTGTTATTTGTAATATCCCTTCAAGAACAGACAAGACAAGAAAGAAACAAATGAAAAATGAAAGCACCCGACTCAGGAATCTGGGAATGCTTTCATGATCAACTCATAGGGAGGTGGGGGCGGTGGTGAAAAGCCAGCTCGCAGGCTGTTACTGGACCAGTGGAAATCCGGACGGCTCAGGCTGTGAGTAGTGTTGGCGGTGGAAGAGGTACTGGAAGAAGGGAGAGTCATCAGCTGACTGTCAGTTTCCACAGGGAGTGGTGGACTTTGCAGAAACGGATGGAAAGTGGAAGCCCTGAAGCTTGATTTTCTCGGAAAAGAATTTCCTTGTTCCAGGGAAGCTTGTCGCTGGAAAGTGAGACTGGCCAGGCTGAGGTTGCTTCGGCGTTCACAGCCACTGTGACGGTAAAATCCAGTCCTGTTTAGGCCGTGAGTGTAAGAAGACCTAGACCGTCGACTGGAACTCCACTGTGAGATGCGGGCACTGGCTCGTCTTCGAGACAGACAAACAAACAGAGCCCAAATAAATCCTCCGATGACGAGCCCAATTGCCATGGACACTGTGAAGGATATTATAAGCTCGTCTGAAACAAACAAAAAATAACCAAATAGGTCATTTGATTTGTAAATAGGGGTTCAACTAAAAACACAGGGCGGAGTACAAAAAGTAACTATGACATGAAATGCATGATTAATTTAAATAGGCTTTAAATTAGGGAAATAGAAGATGGTGCCAGGTGGATATGAATAAATGGAAGCTGTTATGTTTCCATTTATTTAAACAAAAAGACATAAAATAATATTTTTAGCTGTAGCACTCCATGTGGCTTACATTATTGTATTAGCTTTAAAGAAATAAGTACTAAAAATAGTCCCAGTTTTTTTAAAAGGCCATTATTTAGCTTATAAAATTTCTATTAGATTGCAAATGTAGTCCAGAAATTATTTCGATATGAGTTACCATAGTAACTAATGTGCCAACAATTGATAAAGAATTTTGTAATCCTATTGACTTTGTCTTTTCCTCTTTCAGCTCTCATCAGCCTCACTGATGTCTCCCACCGGCAGGCTTCGTGATGTCTCACTTCCTGTGCTCATTCTGAAACAGGAAGTGCTGGGCCAGAACCATCTGGGGGGCTGACTGATTTATGTTATATTTCCTGAAATTCTGGACTGTTACATATCTCTGACTCACTGATAACATGACCTATGCAGACTTTCTTGGTCCCCAAGTTCTAGTTCATGCTGCTACCATACCCTTGTTTTGATAATAAAATTCCTGTCCTCTGAATTTCCACAGAATCTCTGTTCTATACCAGTAGGCTTTAATTCACAGAGCTTGCATTTGTTCAGATTTTCTGTTCAGGTGAGGGAGAGCAAAAAGCCTTACCAAAATGGAAATTCTACCTTATAGCTTCTTCTTGGGAACTAAAAACATATTCTTGAGTTAAACTGGGTAACAGAGCCCCTGCTTTGAATGGAAAGACACCCTGGATATTAGGAGGCCCCTCTAGCCTTTCCACCCACCATGTTTCTCCACCCTCCACCTCATGATCGAACCCATGTTCAATCAGCCATGGTGATTTTCTCACTAATCCAAAGCCTGCCATTCCCTCAAACTCTGTGTTTTCCCATGTATTTTTCCTTATAATTGGATATCATATTTAAATTTCTGTCTGGAAAACTCATTTTGAGTATTGACTTTAGGATAGAGACTCCTAAATTTCATTAACAAAAATAAGTTACTGTTAAATAGAGGGGCAAGCTATCTTATCTAGCTGATTATCTAAGGATTCTGTATTGAGAGAATCATGACTGCAAATTAGCTAATTAGAGAGAGATTGAGTAAAGTTAGAGGTTGGGTTAAAAAACAAAAAAGAGGGGCTGAAAATGCTTTGACGTTCCTCCCATGTAGAGGTAGAATCTATTTTCCCACCCTCTGAATCTGGGTTGGTTCATGACTTGCTTTGACCAATGAGATGCAATAGAAATGATTCTGTGCAAGTCTAAGCCTCAAGAGGCCTTTCAGCTTCTACCACTTCTGCTCTTGGGAATTCTGCAATTGTCAGCATACGTACAAACCTAAGCTAGCCTGTTGGATGATGAGAGACACATGGCCCAGTTACCCCTATTGCCCTGTCCAAGAGCCTACTAACCTTCAAACATGCAAAGGATCATCTAGAAAATGCAGATGCTACTCAACCCCAAAACTGAGTGTGACACACAAGGGAAGACCAACAGAAAACCCATTAAGCTGATCCAGGCCCAAATTGCCAGCCCAAAGAATTGTGAACTAAATTATGATCATTTTAAGCCACTTTGTTTTGAGATGGATTGTTACACAGCAGAAGCTAACTGATTCAGGATTCCTAACTCAGCCCCATCCCTAACATGTTGTGTGATTTTTAGGAAATGTGTTTAGACTCATTGATTTTATTATGTTTTATTGAGTTAGCTTTTATGATTGCCAAGGTTTCTTTCCAGTTTATTGTTATGCTCTATGACAATATATAGAAAATCTATAGTTCAGAAATAGCAAAACAAGCCAATGTTAATAGATACCTAAGAATAATTATTGCTTCTTAATTTTAGGATATATTTAGTGTATTTCCACCTTTTATTGTCACATTTATCTCCTGTGGAAAGACTATATTTGTTGTGTTCTACAATACTTTCACAATTATCTCTACAGATGTTTATATCAAAATCTTCTAAGACAATTGTTTATATCAAATCTAAACAATACATTTTCATAGTAGGAAGATGACTTCTGAATTACAAGATGATTTAGAAGAGATTTGTTATACCCAGTATTGTTCTTATAAAATGTGTCTCACAAAAATAATATTGAGTCATGTCCTTAACACGCAATCTCTTGAGATAAGGATTTTATTGAATTAGGCTCTATCTGGAAAAACCAAATAAAGTCAAAACCTAAAATTAGCCTTTTTAGTAATACAGTAAAATTCCAAATTAATTTCTAACTATCAGTGTCCCAAATATTTTTAATCTAAAAGAGAAATTATAGGAATTCAATGCCTTGGCAACAATGTAAATCAGAATTTCTTGACATTTCTTCCATAAAAGAATAGAATACAATAAAATTAACAAGTAAAACTATACAAAACCCATGCCTTCAACATGATTAGGAGACATAGAACATCCATTCAACTTCAAGTTACCTAAAAAATGAACAATTAAAATCAGATACAGATACCAATAAATTTCTCCCATGTTTCTACCACAAACTTTCATCTAGAGGAAAGGCAATTCTGGAAAAACTGAAAATAAGGAAAAGGTAGTCTGGCCCCTGAGCACACTGACTATAGGAAATGAACTTTCAAGTGCATAGGGGAACATGAGGAGGCAGCCTTAGGAAGCAAACCCTCCCTGAGGAAGAAGAGGGTAAAGAATCCAGCCCCCAAAGATCACATCTCTCGTAGGATTCCATTTACCAGAAATGTCCAGAACAGACAGAACTATGGAGACAGAAAGTAAATTAGTGATTGTCTAGGGCTGGGGGGGAGGTAGGAAGGCATGGAACTGACTGCTATGGGAACAGGATTTCTTTTTGAAGGACAAAACGTTCTCAGATTAGATTGTGCTGATGATCACACAACTCAGTGGCGATAATAGAAACCATTTCACTGGATCCTTTAAGTGGGGGAATTATACAATATGTGGATTATATCTCAATAAAGCTGTTTAAAAACAAGAAAGAAAAAAAAGGAGAGGTAGTTTTTGGAAATCACACAATGAAGGAGAAAAGAG